GTGTTCTAGCAGAAGAATGTCCAGAAGGTCTTTAGAAGTATCACTTCTTCTTGGAGATGTGTTTTTTGATCAGACACAGGTAACTAAAAAAAAAAAAATTAATAATTATTTATTTTACTTATTTTCTCTGTCAAATAATTTAAAGAAAACACACTGTAAAAAATAAAATCGTAAAAAAAGGGTCAAATAACTGGCAGCAAAGGGTGCCAAATACATACTGTAAAAATAAAGTTAAATATCCTAATATAAATTAAATTGTTTTACAGAAAAACACTGTTATTTTACAGCTATTATCTGGATTATTACGATCAAACACTAACTGTAAAAACAATGCATTGTTATGATCATAGTAAAATACAGTTCATAGTAAAAAACAGTCAATGACTGTCAGCAATGGCTGCCATACAAAAAACATAAAATGAATGTAAAATAGCCTAATTTAAATAAGTGCAAAAGTAGAAATCTTCATTAAGCTCTTTAACAGAAACAGTTATTTCACATATTTCCTGATTTTTTTATTAAGAAACATTTAGGTGATGTATGATCTTCTGTCACTATTCATCACTGCATCAACAACTACACAGTTACTGTCAGTTAAGTAAAGGAACATGCACCATTTCATCAGTTTTATTCTGCTCATCCTGAACTGAAGCACAGGCTCTACTCTTCAACAAAATGGTGACCCACAAAACACACCATACAGAAACAATCCAGACTTTATTTATTGCATACTAACATTCTTACTGAGACAGATGTTTAGAAATTGATTTTTTATGTAAAATAATAAATGTTGATGTCACCATAATGGAGATCAGTGTTTGCTTTAGTGGGGCTCTTGACCCTTTGCTTTTAACATTACTATTTCTCTGGCTGCTTTAACTGAGTGTCATAATTGATACATATTTGTTATGGTAGGAATCCAAGAGAATCTCAGTTCAGAAGATCTGATCACTTATTAATGGTAATGTTTTTCATGTAATTGAATGCTTAGTGATATCACCTGATTTTTAATGCACTATGGCTCAGCTTGTCAGCTAACTACGGCTCTTCATCACAGCAAAAACTCAGTCAGTGTTTATTTAACACTCCTGGGATACAGGAGTACACACTCAAGAGTGTTAAAGTTAATGAGATAATTAAGTGATTAACTGAGTGATGATTGAGCATCATTGAAGACACCTAAAGCAGAATCACAAGGAGAAAATCTAAAATTGTAAGCCACCGTTATGGAGATGAGTGTTTGCTTTAGCTGGGCTCTTGACCCTTATTTTATACACTTTATATTTTAATTGGCTTTTGCATCTGAGTTATACCTGCCAGATGAATAAAGAAAAAAATATTATCTAATAATTTTTGTTATATTATAAGAATCATTATTTGAACTTAATGTTTGTGACTTATGTTGTTGGTTACATTATAACTGTGATTCTGTATAAATACCCAGAATTTGAGATATAATATAATGGATTGCTTAAAAGTTGTACAAAAAAAGAAAGTCTGTCTTTTAGGCACACACAGATATCAAGATTCAGTCAATGCTTCTCAACAATGGTGGTGAGCAGAATATTCAAGTAGGAAAAGTAAATTACATAGACAATTCAGATCATAATTTATTCATACCGCAATGCATGATGGGAGCCATGAATGAGTTGTGATTGGTGGCAACAATGATTATTATTGTCACCACGGTTGAGATACACAGGCAGATTATCATATGCTGCAGAACCACTAAACTGTTGCTAACTAGTTAAACCGAATCATCTGAATAGGTTTCATTTAGATCTCAGTATGATTATGTCAAAAAATAACCACCTCTGTCAGATCCCACTTTTCTTTGTTCATTTGACTGTAATAAATCAATAACAGCAGACAAACAAAATTTAAAGTGAAAGTATAAGTGTCGAGAGCCCAACTAAAGCAAACACTGATCGCCATAACGGTGGCTTACAATTTGTGATTTTCTCCTTCAGTGATTCTGCTTGTTATCACCAGGTGTCTTCAATAATGCTAAATCATCACTAAATTAATCACTTAATTAATATTGTTTCAATATAACAAGGTTAATGGGGAAAATACGACAATCTTAGATTTAATCTAAAACTTAAGTACACCTATTTACAATGTAATCACAACAGATACACTCACAACAGATTTCTCTGTCATATCAGTGAATCAGGTCACCATATGATGACTATAACATCACCAATAACTGACCAACATCAGCTGATATTTTCTCCCGCTTTCAATGCTATAACAAATGTATGTTGAAAACATAATTAAAGCAGCCAGAGTAAAAATAATATCATATAATAAAGGTCAAGAGCTCAACTAAAGCAAACACTGATCTCAATCATGGTGACGTCAAGTTTTTATTTAAATTAACATATTTTTACTGTAATTTTATGGTTTTTGTTTGGCACCCTGTGCTGCCAGTGAATTGACCCTTTTTTAACAATTTTTTTACAATGACGGTATTTGATCATAATAATGCAGGAAATACCTTTAAATAACAGTGTTTTTCAGTTTATTTAATTTATGACGTTTTACTTTAATGCTACAGTTTTTTGAGCTACAGTCATGTAATCATTTAACTGTTTTGTTACTATTTAATTACAGATTCTATTTGTACTTTTACATAAATGTTTATGTAATTTAAGAAAACAGAAAAATACTGTATGAAAAATACAATCAATTACTGTAAAAAAAATTTGAATGACTGGAATTTTTTCTTTAATACCTAAAATGTCAGCTGCATTTTTATTTTCCAGATATTATTTGTAATTTTGCAGTGTTTTGAGTACAATTTAAAATGAAAGAAAATGGTCTTCAAAAATCACAGTTATTTTCTGTGAAATTAGGATTTTTTTTTTACAGTGTATAGTGACAGAAAATCATACATCACCTACATGTTTCTTAATAAAAAAATCAGGAAATATGTGAAATAACTGTGTTTCTGTTAAAGAGCTTAATGAAGATTTCTACTTTTGCACTTATTTAAATTAGGCTATTTTACATTTATTTTATGTTTTTTGTATGGCAGCCATTGCTGACAGTCATTGACTGTTTTTTACTATGAACTGTATTTTACTAACAATGCATTGTTTTTACAGTTAGAGTGTTTGATCGTAATAATCCAGATAATACCTGTAAAATAACAGTGTTTTTCTGTAAAACAACTTAATTTATATTAGGATATAAATATACATACCGTAGGTATTTTTACGGTATGTATTTGGCACCCTTTGCTGCCAGTTATTTGACCCTTTTTTTACTATTTTATTTTTTACAGTGTAGTCTATGGTTGCACATTGGGTTAGAGTTGTCCTAATGTAAGTAACCAAGAAAATGTAAAAAAAATATAAAATAATAATCACCCAGAAAGTGCCCTATATTATCAGTGTTTATAAACTTGCAACAAAACATAAATGGCAAGTTGTTGAAAAGACAATTAATGTGACTCAACAGACTTTGTTACCCATGATGTTACATCTGAGTATGTTTTACTGTCCTTCCACACACAGGGAAGTTATGCTTAGGGTTAGGATCTCGGTAAAGGGGTAGTTTCTTACAACATAGCAACACTACTTTGTTAAGTGAATGCATTACTGACGTGATAATAACAGCAACACCGACTTAGCAACATTAAACGGGTTTTAATAAAGGTTAAAAGATTGTCCAACCACAGCAAATCTGCACTGCGGAACATGAAATCCACGGGGAGGAGTCGGATCCAGATCCAACTCCTCCCAACTTACATACACCTAAACCTACCCAAATCCGCCCCCTAATCCCTAAACCCACAACTAATCTTGCCCATATCCACCCCTTGGATCTTGATCCGACTCCTCCCCGTGGATCTCATGTACTGCATTGAGGTGCTACTCGAGAATCCTGCGAGTGCCAAGGGAAAGTCAGAGCCAATGACAACTCAGTTGAACAGATTCGTCACACTTACTTGCCCATACATGGTCATTTATGAAAGGATCTTCTATTTAGGTTATTGTGGTGAATGAACAGATTATATCATTTAAACATTTATTTGCCCCCATTCAATATCAAACTAAAACAGATTGCATTGTGGGGTTAACCTGATGCAGCAAAAGATTTATTGATTACAGTGAAATTATATATTATATATATAAAGCCAAAACATTCTCAGTTCTCATAACTACGTACTGTGAACTTTTTTTTATTGCAGAAATGTAACATACAAACAATAACAGAGCATAAACAACCAAAACAAAAATAAATAGTTATGGTCTAGGATAGCGTCATAGACAAATCATTTCGGACGGACCTCGCGGATAGACCTAAAACCAATCAGAGCGATGAAGGAGATGACGTTTGCAGAGATGTGGAGAAACATCTCCGAGTGTTGTTCTTGGCTTGTTTTTTTTTTTTTTAAAGGAAACGTTCAAATCGCTTAAAACAGACGCGATAGCTGATTCGAGCGAGTGATGTTCGACGGCGGCATTCATCTTTGTAATGTAGGCTACTAAATCTGCTTCAAAATCGCAGCGCTGGCGTCACTCGTCATTGTGTAAAGCCCGCCCCAACGTTTCTGATTGGTGGAAATGGGTTTGAATGAGCTCTTTGCCAGACCTAACTTTTTTCCCAGGCTATGTCTAAGCACTATTAAATGAAAATGAAAAACTTCTATGTTCGTATTATAAGCGGGATTAGTTGGCTATACAAGGGTGCATTTTGGATAATTCTACTATGGTATTTACCAAATATTCTTAATGCAGTACTGGTGCTTCCCTAGACTTAACTTACTGGGACCATTTTAGAGAATCTGTGTCTATGTGAAATATAATATATTATGACAATATAATATACATTTGAACATTCATTGTACATCTAGCCTCTAGTCTAGAGAGAATTTGATTGTTCATATCCATATATTTAATGATGAAACCAGTATATATATATAAAAAGTATAATATATATATATATATATATATATATATATATAATACTTTACACACACAATGGGCTTACATTTAAAAATGACTATGTAAGAATGTAAGACTACAAATGACTTCATATTTCCTTGAGCCGTTCCTGGTTGATAGTTTCCCCGGTGTTGCTGTGGGTTTCCTCTGGCTGCACCAGTGTTGTATGCACATTAAAAACATGCAGGTATATCGTGTGTGTCGTCTCTGTGACAGACTGCTCATCTGTTCAGGGTGATGTTATACCTTTGGCCTGTGGTAGCTGGGAGAAGCTCCAGCACCTGGATATTTCAGGCATAAAATGTGGTGCTTTTTAAAGGTCAAAATATGTAAATGGACTTAGTGAAAACAAAAACCTTTATTTTTCCACTATAACAGAAACTGTGGTTCAAAAACAAACAAACAAAAAACTCTCTTCATGAACCGGTAATATTATTAACATTGATTCAGAGTAATTTGAACATGATCTTCAGGCTGCCAGGTGGGTGGCCATGTCTTCTTACTGAGAAAAAGTAAAAACAGCAATCAATAAATGAGAAGGACAGAGGTTGTTGTAATTTACAAAGGTGAATTACGTTGCCATGTAGGTTTACTTATTCTTACCAGGCTGGACAAGGCAACCAATGCACCAACACCTCTTTACGTCCCTGTAAATTAGGTAAAATAAAGAGCCAATTACAAAACAAATCATCATTACATTTTAATCTGTACATATCATTACATCACTTACTAATTCTGAAATTTTAATTCCAATTCTTCATTTAGGATTCTTATCATTTTAACCACAACTGACCAATAATTGACTCACACCTGAACTTTACATGTTATATAGCTAGATTTTATGTTATATTCATACTACACTGTAGAAGACAGCACTGTAGTACTGTACAGAATTTGTATAATAAAATATGAATTTACAATTCTTCACTTTATTAATCATTGTTTGTAACCTGGTTAACGCCAGACCAGGGGCGTAGCATTTCAAATGTGAGGGGGACAGAATGTCAAGCATTATACCTTTTTTTTACAATTGCATACTGCATTTATATTAAATGGTAACACTTTACAATAAGGTTTCATTAGTTATCTATCTATCTATCTATCTATCTATCTATCTATCTATCTATCTATCTATCTATCTATCTATCTATCTATCTGTTTTACTTAACCAAAACTGTCTTTCATATTGAAAACATTCAAACTTCATGCTTTTAAAACTTCTTCAAACTTTCTGGTAGGCTTTTTAAAGAAAACTTAACATTTGTCTACAAACCTTTTTAATCAAATTGTAAAGTGTTACCTTATTATATGGTATACATCATGTACACATGTTACAAGTACAACACTGCATGATTCAAGCTTTTTTTAAAAGCCAGTCTATTACTTTTCACCTGTGAACTTTCTTTTTTTTTTTGAGTGTCATCCTCTTTCTGACCTGACAACCCTAGGCTCCCTGTTTCTTGATCAATCTTGACAACACAGAAGAAGAAAAAAAACATTAAATTAGTGCAATAATATTATTGAACCCTATAAATTAAGACCTAAATCAGAACATTAATGCATACAATTGCATACTGCATTTATATTGAATGGTAACACTTTACAATAAGGTTTCATTAGTTATCTATCTATCTATCTATCTATCTATCTATCTATCTATCTATCTATCTATCTATCTGTCTGTCTGTCTGTCTGTCTGTCTGTCTGTCTGTCTGTCTGTCTGTCTGTCTGTCTTACTTAACCAAAACTGTCATTCATATTGAAAACATTCAAACTTCATGCTTTTAAAACTTCTTCAAACTTTCTGGTTAGGCTTTTTAAAGAAAACTTAACGTTTGTCTACAAACTTTTTTAATCTAATTGTAAAGTGTTACCTTATCATATGGTAAACATCATGTACACATGTTACAAGTACAACACTGCATGATTCAAGCAAATAAGTTCGATAATGGCAGAAAATTAGGCAAAGTTATTCATCAATGACAATGAGCAACCAAATTCGGATACCACATTACAACTTACAGTTCTTGACTTTTTTGCGAAAAAAAGTGTGAAGTGTTTTTCGCCGTTTTGAATTCCTTTCGACCTTCGACGATGGATTCAGTGCGGGTGCGAGCACGGGCGTGTGGTGATGCACGAGCGCGAGTGACTGATTACCATGGCAACGTGAAAGTCACGTGTAGATACAGTAGATAGGCGATCTTTTCTCTTTGAATTTTAAATCTGTATCTATAAATACACATTGGCTCGCGAAAACCTCAACATGTCGTGAACACTTCCACTATGAAAAAGTGCGGGGGACAAATTTACATTTTATAAAATGTGGGGGGGACACGTCCCCCCTACGCCCTTGCGCCAGACCACGTATCATTGAGAATGAGACATGGTCTGGAAACCACATATTCATTTTCTACTATTTGAGGCATGGTTTACGAATGCCCAGAGACGTATTATTGGGTGCTACGAATGCCTATCAAATGTGTCTGTACGTCACTCATAGCAAATCGGTTCAATTACATATGTAGAGTGACAGAAAATTAGATGAGGAAGAAGACGATGAATCAGAGATTTATGTTTACACAAAGGCTGTATCAAAAGAACTTCACGTCCGCTGCCGAGATGGATCCATAGACATAAACAAACTGCTATGGTGTGTCGCATAGACATCGTCATCGTCTTGCTGCTCCCTGCCTGTTCTGTGATTGATTCCCTATCTCAAGCGAAAAATTTGGTTAATGGTGTCCAGGCTGCCTAGCTGTGTGAATAAAATCGCACTGTGGCAAGGCAGCATGGGGAAACCCAGGCTACATTGTTTGTGTATTGATGTGTGATATTCCACCTTATGCTCTTTTGCACTGCCTGTACTCATACTGTAATCAGTAAGAAAATATAAATTCTATTGCAGATATTTATTTTTTTGCAATAAAGTACCCTACAGATTAGCATACATTGAATGTGGAGCTCTTAACATTATAACAGAGCTAAATATTTTGGGATACTGATCCATTCATAGCAAAAACATAAATGTATTACTTAATTTAATAAATTATTATTATTATTTTTTTTTATTTTGTACATGAAAACATCACCGGTATTATTAAAAATACAACATTAAGAGATTGAGGAACAATGGAAACCTTTCTGAGACGCGTCTTGGATACAAATTCCACTGGAAATACGTCCAGAGACGCATGAAATGGACATTCTGTACAAATGTAGAATTTGGTTAGAAATAAATTACTTAACTTGAAAAGAGGATGTCTAAAAGTTAGAATGCAAAACAATTTTTAAACATCTAAAAATCTAAACAGCACTGAAACAAATATAAATATTATGAGAACTTTCCAAATGGATGAAAATGTTTAATAGACAAGCAATGCAAAGAACTGACTGTATTGTGTAACATTTTATACCTGTGTCAGTCTTTTTTTGCCGCTTTCTCTTTGCTGCCATGTTCACAGCTGATTTGCTGTGAAGGAAAACAATTTTTTAGCCTTAGTTCAATTTCAGATTTGAAATCACCAATAAAATCTGACAACTACAGTCTGTCTCATTATTGTTTATGCTATATTCCTAAGTATATATATATATATATATATATATACAAAATATATATATAAATAAATAAATAAAAATTGGAGCAGATTGGAGCAGCCAATACGCATGAGCAGTCATGAGCAGACCCTCAGAATACTGTCTATTTCTAGAGCCACCGGAGCTTCTAACAGCAGTTGGGATGACATATTAACTTTTCTAAAGTATTAACTATATATAACTCTATATAATTATATATAGACTTTGCTTCACCCCATTATCTTCTACTCACCATTCTGGTTTTAATATGACTCCCTCTTTCTCTCTTCTCTCTTCCTCAACAGGTCTCTCTGGTTCTTCCCTTCCATTTTCCGTCTGTTGTTCTTCAATGTCTGCATTTTTCACTGATAAAATGTCTTCATCTTCTACAGCCCCTTCATCTTCTAAGCCCTGTCTCTCTGTTCCATCACCCTCTGTGTCCTCTTGCCGTTATTTTCCTGGACTTTCGAATCTCTCTTCCACAACAGGCCTCTCTGGTTCTTCCTCCCCACTTTCTATTTGTTGTTCTATGACCTCTTTGAAACTTTGAAATAAAGTTTAGTTAAACAAAGAAACTTGTATAGCTACAGTATTTTGGTATCAGTGCTTGCAAATACAATTTACCCTGTAAAATATGCTCAAAGAGGATGAGCATTTTTTCCATCACCATATGTCCCTCAGGTGGGAACTCAACTGGGCACTGGACCTCTGCTTTCCACTTTTTGCCCCTCGAATATTTCCCTAGTAGAAGGAGAGGAACATATCGTCTCGGTTACGGATGTAACCCTCGTTCCCTGAGTAGGGAACAGAGACGTTACGTCAGAAGTGACGGAGATTGGGGGTTTCGCATAGAAAGCCAATCCTCTTCGAGTATTTAAAAACGAGCCAATGGCATGCAATGCCTTGGGGCTGCGAAAATTTGCATAGCGTACTCCGCCCTACTCCGTGAGTATAAAAGGAGGAAGTGAACGCAACCGCAGTATGTCTTCGCTGAGGAGCCAAGACTGAACTCGGCGTCTACCCAGCGATACAGCAGAAGCGGCAGGGAGACGTAACGTCTCCGTTTCCTACTTAGGGAATGAGGGTTACATCCGTAACCGAGACGTTTCCTTTCGTAGTCACTTCGAGTTACGTCAGAAGTGACGGAGATTGGGGGTCTGTGCCATCACGCCATCTTCAAGCTGTCTTCCAGTGCCCTGCGAAAGTCTGGACCCCTGAAAACCTTCCTTAGGGGATCCCGCTTTAACACAGGAATACCAAGGTACACTGGGAAACATATCCCGGGAGGGATATGCAACCAGATGCCTACCAAAGGGAGGACTTACAAATACGCATATGGCCGCAAGGAACACATATGGAATCACTGGAGCACCAACCGCAGGTGGCTACTGGAATTTAACTCCAGGGGTGGCAGATGGCTTGCCAAGGGAAGACACATGCTCAGAGAGGCTTACAGTGGAAATACACATGAGACAGTTACCATGGGGAACCGTGCACATGGAGGCACCTAGCCAGCATCCAGAGCAACAGCAGTGGTGCCCGCATCGTAGGTGCTGGAGGACTCAAGGCTTCAAAGGAAGAACTGAGGAGATATCGCACTTATCCAGTCCGTGGAGTGGAATGGCGAGCAAGCGAAGACACCTAAGCGGGTCCAGTACCGGCGGAAGCGAGTACATGAGAGGACACCGGCTCAATTCGCAGATTATAGAATCTGGCGAAGGTGTTGGGTGTCGCCCAGCCTGCAGCTCTGCAAATGTCTGTTAGCGAGGCGCCGTGCGCTAGAGCCCAAGAGGAGGCCACACTCCGAGTGGAATGGGCCGTCACACCAAGGGGGCACGGACAGCCTTGCTGCTGGTAAGACAAAGCAATGGCGTCCACTATCCAGTGGGACAGCCGTTGCTTTGAGAGAGCCCTTCCCTTCTGGCTCCCCCCATGACAGACAAAGAGCTGGTCTGAGGTCCTGAAACACCGCGTTCTGTCGACATAGGTGCGGAGAGCACGTACCGGACAGAGCAGTGCCAAGGCTGGGTCTGCCTCCTCCAGGGGCAGCGCTTGCAGGTTCACCACCAGGTCCCGGAGGGAGTGGTAGGAACCTTGGCCATATATCCAGGCCGGGGTCTCAGGAATACGTGAGAGTAAGCCGGCCCGGCCCGGCCCGTGCAGGTCCCTTACTCTCCTGATGGAGACCAATGCAATCAGGAGTGCTGTCTACATAGGACAGGGCAAAAACTCTACCGACTGCAAAGGCTCCAGGGGAGGCCTCTGCAGAGCACTTAGATCTAATGAGAGGTCCCCAGAGGGCAGGAGGGGAGGGAGGCGGATTTAGCCCCCTCGCTCCCCTCAGGAACCTGATGACCAGGTCATGCTTCCCATAGACTTACCTTTCACTGCATCATGAGACGCGGCAATGGCCGCGACATAAACCCAAAGGGTGGAGGGCGACAGCCTACTCTCCAACCTTTCTTGCAGGAAGGAAAGCACGACTCCGATCAAACATCTCCGGGGGTCTTCTCAGCGAGAAGAGCACCAGCTGACGAAGAGGTTCCACTTCAACGCGTACAGGTGTCTCGTGGACGACGCTCTAGCGGAAGGGATGGTTGCCGCCACCGCAGGTGGCAACGAACTCAAACCTGCCCCGTCCCGTCCCGGAGCCACATGTGTAGTCTCCAGGATCAGGACGAGGGTGCCACGGAGTGCCCCGTCTCTGAGTGAGTAGATCTTGTCTCAGAGGAATAGGCCAAGGAGGTGCTGTCGCGAGGAGCAAGAGTTCGGAAAACCACGTCTTGGTGGGTCAATAGGGGGCTACCAGCAAGACCTGCTCCTTGTCCTCCTTGATCTTGCATAACACCCGTGCAAGGAGGCTCACTGGGGGAAACGCATACTTGCGTGGGCCCCGCGGCCAGCTGTGCGCCAGCGCATCTGAGCCGAGCGTACCGTCGGTCAGGGAATAAAACTGGGCGCAGTGGGATGAGTCCCGGGAGGCGAACAGATCTATCTGTGCCTCCCCGAACTGGTCCCAAATCAGCTGGACCGACTGGGGATGGAGTCGCCATTCGCCGGAGATAGGACAGACCCGTGACAGATCGTCGGCTGCCATGAATACGCATCCGTGGAGACAACGAGATACCTGGAATCTCGCTGAATAGGGACGCCGGTCCGTAAAAAGCTGAGGTTCGACCACGGGAAGAAGGTTCGGCGGCACGCTGGAGTCACTGGAACTCGGAGCGAGCCGCAATGCCATGCCCACCTCGGGACTCGATCGCAAAACCACAGCTGAAGCGGTCTCATGAAGCAAACCGAGCGCCGTAGCCGCGGCCACGGATGCCATATGCCCCAGGAGCCTCTGAAATAGTTCAGTGGAACCGCACTCTTGCCCTCGAACTGTCGAAGACAAGTCAGCAGTGAGTGCGCGCGCTCGCTCGTGCGCTGCGCGGACATGGCGACCGAGTCTATCTCCATGCCGAGAAAAGAGATCCTCTGCACGGGGCAAAGTTTGCTCTTTCCCCGGTTGACCCGAAGGCCCAGACGGGCTAGGTGCCTGGTCCAGGTCTCTGTGTTCGCAAACCTGTTCTCGAGAGTGTGCCAGTATCAGCCAGTCGTCGAGATAAATCAGGGTGCGAACCCCGTGTTCGCGAAGGGGAACAAGGGCTGCCTCGACGATCTTCGTGAAGACGCGAGGTGACAGAGCTAACCCGAAAGGGAGAACCGTGTACTGATGCCTGGCCTCGAGGCAAACCGAGAGCGGTCTGTGTCGAGGCAATATGGAGACATGAAAGTACGCGTCCTTCAGGTCGATTGCTGCAAACCAATCCTGAGGCCAAACGCATTCGAAAATGCGTTTGGCTGTGAGCATTTCGAACGGTAGTCGAAGGAGAGTACGGCTCAAAATGCGCAGATCCAGGATTGGCCGTAACCCACCGGTCTTCTGAGGACAGTGAAGTATGGGCTGTAGACCCGGACCTCACCTCGGCTGGAGGGACCGTCTCGATTGCACCCTTCGCCAGCAGGGTGCAATCTCCGCTCTCGTGACCGGGGCATAGCCACCGACCACCGTGGAGCGAACTCCCCTAAAGCGGGGAGGAGACCTCGCGAACTGAGTCGCGTAGCCGAATCTGATCGTTCTGATGACGCAGCGGGACAGGTCGGGGAGCTCTAGCCGGGATCCCAGGAACTGAACCAGCGGAGTCATGCGAACCACAGACGTCCCCCCGGAGGGGCAGCGGTACAGGGAGACCGGCATGCGCACGGGAGTTACCCTGTGCGGATGCACAGTCGATCCCCGTTCCCCAACAGAAGAGACCAGGGAAGGCAGAGCGTTCCACGGGGGTCTGTTCTGCCTGGGGTCTGGCGATAGAGGGGGAGGGGAGTCGTGTAGTCGGGGGACGGCACACGCTCCCATCCACACCCTCAGAGACAGAGAGGAATGAACAGGGCGACGCACTGGACGTCGTGCGCGCTCATTACAGTCTGTGTGCTCAATGACAGTGTCAGCTTTTCCTCAACCAGCTCAAGGAGCTAGCTAGAACAAAAGATTCTCCACCGGGGAAAGGAGGGGCCCTGCTACCGCCTCCTGAGAAAAACCATGACACTATCACTGAGCGGCCCGCCTCAGGAACATCGCTTCGCCTGGCGTTTAGCGGGGCACACGGCCTGAGGGGGGGGGACTTTTTTTTTTTAAGTGCATGTCAGTTCCGCATGCAACTCGGGGAAAAAGGAAATTGTGGTTGGCCGTGGCCGTGAGGCGGCAGCGTTACCCAAAAACCAATTATCCATCCGCGAGAGATCGGGATAGGGCGGAGTTTCACCCCCACCCGATGCTCACGGAGGCCCGAGATAGCATGGCCATCATCGCGGGATCAGACACGGCGACTCCGACGCTCCCGAGGGAGGCAACGCGGCCGCATCCTCACTTCCCGAGGAGTCAAGCCCGCCTTGTGATGCTGCGATCGTCATCGCATCACTCTCTGGAGCGCTGAACGAAACAGACGGTACCTCAGAGAGGCAGACGTCTGAAGCGATACAGCGCTCACTGGCTCTAACACAGGAGCGGTGGGTGTGACCCGAGGCTTTAACTAACGTCGGGGGGAGTGTCACACATTCACCGTCATATCACCCTATCCGTGAGTTGAAGAGCTTCTATTTTTAGAAGCAGAACGAGTAACGGACACGGGGAATCTCACTATCAGATCATTGAGTCTCGATCACAGTGTAGAGATGCTCATGTTCCCCTTTAGAAGGAACATGAGTCATCCGCGAACGCTGCTACTGCATGCTGAAGCCCAGGCACACACAGAGCAGCGATCGCGACCATCAGAAAATGACATGAAACGACCGCACCCAGAAGAACACGGGCGAGTCGTCTTTAAAAAGACGTGCCGCGTGCAGCACTTTCACTTAGAGAGGAGGAAATTCACTCTTTCAGCGCTGAGGCGACCAGGGAGAAGCGCAAAGTCTGGCAGACCACTGCTCAGATCGCAGGCGATGCAGAATCTCGCTGGGTACCGCCGTCACACCAACACTGAAGAG